ACATGGGCTCTGGGAATCACACTTGGTTCACTAGGTCTGTGAGAGTGCTATTGCTTGCTGAGCCATTCACTGGCTTGTGCAGAAGACCTGTTCCTTTGTAAAGGATGAATGTGCGCTTTTGGCAAGGTAAACATAGCTGTCACTATTTCCTCGAATGACATTCTTCAAATATGTCAGACCAGAAGTTAGAGATGCATGACATTATTTAAAATTTTTCTAAGAAAATTAATGCCAAACACTGTTTTGGTATGCTGAATATTTATATTCATTCCATTTGCAACAGATTTTTTTTTAATATTTATTTGAATTATTTAAAAAATCTTTATGTGTACGGGTGTTTTGTCTGCATGTATATCTGTGAACACAAGTATGCCTGGTGCCAGCAGAGGTCAGAAGAAGGCATTGCATCTCCTGGTGTTGGGAGCCACCATGTGGGTGTTGGGAACAGAACTCTGTGTAGGGGTGACAGCGTTGCTTGACATCCCAAATGGGCTTTAAAAGAACCATCTTTCCATCTCCATGTATTTTCTCTTTTCAGGTTCATTTTGGAGGCCAAGGCCTCTTGTTCCCCTACACACACCCCTTTTGAATGCATTTTAATAGTAATCTTTTGGTGGTTAAAATCAGATTTAAAGGGCAAAAACCTTGAGGGTTCGATGCTGTTCTAAAAAATGTGAACTCATCTCTGCGTTGGGGAAGAAGGGGAAGGTGAAGGCTCAAAGTCAGCCTGACTCTAAAGAACCCAGTGAGTGCCTTGGTTGATGCCTTGCCCTTTGCAGAGTGCATCGGGAACAGGTGACATTTGCTTGAGGCTTAGCTCCATTAGTCACTGGCAGGATACTTGGAGTGCTGGCAGAGCACAGATGGGTAAGTGGAAAAGAGGCTTTGGGATGAATGCTCCCGTTCTGAAGGTCGTTATTGTATCCACATTTTGGGAAAGAAGTTCCGTTTATAGATGCTGATGAAGTGTGTCTCCACTGAGATCCAGTTTTCTGCAGCCATATTTTTATCAGCTGATCTTCATGAACAGAACACCTGCGTTGTTTGTATAATTTCTCTTGAACGTTTGTTCTCCTTCCAGTGCCGTTCAGCTTTTCTACTCAGTGAGGAATATCTTCCATTTGTTCCATGACGTGGTGCCAACATACCACAAGTAAGTGTCTCATTTCTGGATAATTGTCTGTAGAAATGGTAAGTTGGGTCAAAAACTGGTTTTCACCACAGCTGTTGAGTAAAATTGGCAGTAAAAGTACACCAAACTAAGATTTTTTAAAGGCTGTAGACATTTACTGTGGTGTGTACAGTGACCTTGCGTGTGGGTGGCACACACTTAAAAGGTCAAAAGACTTTATCCAGTTTTTAATGCCCAGGCATTTTGGGAGCCACCTTACTTTTCTTAGTTAGGAAATAGGAAGGTCCTCATCCAATGAGTGTGCTTGGTTTTGTAGTTCTGTAGACCCTACCCATGAGAAGGCCCTCTTAGTGTGAAATATGCTCAGGCACTCTTTCTAATGTTAATATAGCATCAGGCTGTATTAACCCAATGTCTTGGGTTTTAAAGGTTTGTTTGCTTTTGATATTAATCTGAAAAGTTGTTCAACTCTGCCTCTAGTTCTTTCTGTTATTAAAATGAAATGTTTTCATGGTTTTTTGTTTTGTTTTCAAGACAGAATTTCTTTGTTTAGCTGTGGCTGTTCTGGAATTCATTTGGTAGACCAGGCTGGCTTCAAACTAAGTGATCTTCATGTCTCTGCCTCCCAAGTGCTGGGATTAAAGGTGTGCGCCATGACAGCCTGGCTTTTGTATGCTTTGTATAGATATTTTTAGTAATTTGTCACCAAAACCATTCCATAGTTAAGGGTTCACCTCTCTCTTTTTTAAAGATTGAGTTTATTTTTTATGTTTATGTGTGTGTGTGTTCACTTGTTCGCCTCACTGTGTAGTCTTAAATTTCCCATGTGATTCTAATCTGTAGTCAATTTTGAAAAATTTCAGTGTTTCATTATATAAATGAAATGGGAGTTCAGAAAGGGAGAAGTGAACCTGTATTTCCCAGACTGTCTAAGTTGAATGGAAGTTCAGAATGCAGTTTAATGTGTTTGTTGTGCTAAGAGCAACATATCCACGGTTGATTCTTTTGGTTTTTCTTTTTTTATTAGTCATTGGAATAGTAGTTTCTTTTAATGTGTGTGTGCGTGCATGTGCACAGATACCTACAGAGGCCAGAAGTTGGATCCCCTAGAGCTGGAATTACAGGTGGTTGGTTGTAAGCCACCTGACTTGCATACTGGGCATCAAACTCGGGTCCTGTGCATGAGCAGCAGGCACTCTTGGTTTTTGACACTTCTCTCCAGCCCACCGCCCGCTAGGAGAATTTTATTGGATAAGGTGATATTGGCTTGAACAACTAACTGAAGGAGGATGATTACATGTTTTGTTATGTTCAGCATATACAAGTAGACATTGGTCAAAGCCAAGGGCTGCCACCTTAGAGGAGAGACAACTTTCCAGAAAGCTTGACATGAGTAACCGGTGGTTTCCTTTTCTACCCTTCCTCTTGGCCTAGGGAGAACCTTCAGAAGCTCCCCCAATTGGCTGCCATTCACCATAACAATTGCATGTATATTGCTCACCACTTGCTGACCCTGGGTCATCAGTTCAGATTGCGTCTTGCTCCCATTCTTTGCGATGGCACGACTACCTTTGTGGACCTTGTACCTGGCTTCAGAAGACTTGGTAACTGATCCCTCACATTTGGAAATGTGACTTATATATACAGTCTTAATAGCTTTGTAATTTAGTAGCCGAGGAGGTTAGGAGTTAGTGATGTATTAGATGTGTTAGAGTATGGGAAGTCTTCTAGTTTGCTAATATTTCTAGTTATTTAATTCTATAAAATGGATACCATCTTTGTGCAAACATTACTTTTAAAAAAAATATTTATTTATTTATTTATTTATTTATTTATTTATTTATTTATTTATTATGTATACAGTGTTCTGGCTGCATGTTTGCCTGCAGGCCAGAAGAGGGCACCAGATCTCATTACAGATGGTTGTGAGTCACCATGTGGTTGCTGGGAATTGAACTCAGGACCTCTGGAAGAGCAGCCAGTGCTCCTAACTGCTGAGCTCAAGCCCACAAACATTACTTTTTCATGACATGATTTTGTGGTATGTTAACATGCCTGACTTTATTGCTGGTATGCATTGGCTCCCCCGAGTCATTTGTGTTAGGAGAAAGCCACATAATGAGATGTGTACCGTGACAGTGCTGTTGGTGTTGTTGACAGACCCTCATTGACGTCAGCTCTTGTTCTTGTAAACCCCAAGGCAGCTCCCTCCCTTTAGGACTTCTGTGGTTTTGATTGTGATTATTAGAAGTCCAAAGAAATCCACTGTAGGGTAAACTGAAATTTATTATGAGGGCACCCAGAGAAGAGTTGAGAACCAGTGTGGTCCAAGTAGCCTTTCAGCTGCACGGGTTCCCATCAGCGATGTAGACGCTTCAACGGAAAGCAGCTGGTTTTTATAGAAATGATTTTTTCCTTGCTGTCTCATATTGCAGGCAAACTGTTGAGAAAGGATTATCTATCACCCTTTGATGGGATCAGAAGGACTGGCTAAGTGGATTCAGGATCATTTTATACAGACAGGAAGTTGACAAAGAACACATTTAGTGACTTAAAAATACAGTTGTTCTATACAGGCCCTGCCGCTGTCAGGCTTATGTTCATCTCGCTCCCTGGTTTAGCAGTGTGGGTCAACAGGCTTATGGTTCTTTATTTTGCCCCTGTAGGCACAGAGTGTTTTTTGGCCCAAATGCGGGCGCAGAAAGGAGAACTTCTGGAAAGATTATCAAGTGCTAGGAGTTTTTCCAACATGGATGACGAAGAGAATTATTCTGCAGCAAGCAGAGCAGTGAGGCAGGTAGGAGGCTGTTGCAGGCACTGATGACGGTGCCCACCCATCCTTAGAGGCTCCTCACCCCACCTAGCAAGTCGCTCAGTTGATTCCTGTACTCCCTATTGGAAAGTTTAGATACCTGTCAGAGCTATGTGTAAGGCCTTCTCCCTGTTCAAACAAGACACGAGGAAGCCATCTTTCCCTTGACTCAAATTTTTAAATGTTGGCTTTCCTCTCTACTCCTGTCTTAGTGGGTCTTTCTTCCATTGGTGTATATTGGTTGTATGTGGACTGGGTTTGATAAGGACATTTGCATGCAGATACTCGTAGAACACACACTCCTTTCCTTCCTTTTTCTCACCTCTCGTATCAAGTGCTGAGTCACTTGCTCTGCTTGTCTGTCATTACACAGACATTATTGTCTGGGTCTGTGTAAGATCTAGGAACCACAGATGAGCAAAGCCATGATCTGTGTCCTCTGAGACTCACTTCACTTGCTTACAGTGGTCATCTCCAGCTGAGCATGTTTTCTTGCAAATGACTCGACTCCAGTCTTTGTGGCCCAGCAATGCTCCATTGTGTACACACCACATTTAGCTGATTTCCTCTTCACTGCAATGCTCCCATCAGGATGGGTCTGCTTTTGTTCTCTTAAGGATATCCCTGAGTCAAATATTGAAGAGCCATAGGGTTCCAGTTACCTCACTTTTATATCACTTCTTTCCCCCATTTTACTTATCGCATAAAATTGTAAGTATGACTTGTAGCCACCTCCTTCTGTGTAAATAGCTTCGTTCTTCTGACAGATACTGCACCAGCTAAAGAGACTTGGAATTGTGTGGCAGGATGTCCTGCCGGTGAATATTTATTGCAAGGCTATGGGGACCTTGCTAAACACCGCGATTGCTGAGATGATTAGCAGAATCACTGCTCTGGAGGTAAGGGCCCACACAGACTTGAAATGCAAGTCTTATCCCGCACTGTGACTTTATTAAGAAAGTGATGCTGCAGCCTTGTTTTTAATTGGCACAAATGGTAGAAGAGATTGGTTATTTAGTGTCTAACTCATGCTGTTGTGGTTTGGTTGGTTGGTTCTAGTTTTGTCTGAATTCTGTTTTGCTGGGAACTTGCTAATCTCTTTTATACCTAGAGAAGAAAGTAGGGTTGTGCGACTTCTCAATCTAGCATCCAAATTAGGAGTTAGGGCATTGGAAACTGGGCAGTGGTCCCAAGAAACATTATTTAGTATGAAGTCATTTGTTCTGCAGATGAACTAAGTAACTTAGTTTAGCAACGGGAATAGTCTATGCAGGTACCACTTTGCCAACATACTGTGCAGTTGAGTGGACTGTGTGATCCTATGAAGAAAATTGCCTGGACGTGGCTAGCTGATCCTCCATAGTGTAGCGCGATCAAACCCTGTCCTCTGCAGCAGGCTGTGTGTAGCACATTGTGCTGGGAACACGGGCTCCTGTGCAGACACACAGAACTGCTGACCATCGGCCGACACACAGCTTATCTCATGCTAGCTTCAGGAGGGTTTTCAGAGAGCTGACTGGATCTAGTGACTAGTAAGATGTGCTTCAATGGTTGGTTGGAAAGCATCTGCTCTGCCCTGCCCTTTGGCTCAGTTCTATTCTGTTACGTTCCCTTTGTGCTAAACTAGGACATCTCAACTGAAGATGGCGATAGATTGTATTCCCTGTGCAAAACTGTGATGGATGAAGGGCCGCAAGTGTTTGCACCTCTGTCTGACGAGAACAAGAACAAGAAATACCAGGAAGAGGTTCCAGTCTATGTGGCCAAATGGATGCCTTTCAAAGAGCTGATGATCATGCTGCAGGCTAGCCTGCAAGAAATTGGAGATCGGTGCGTATCTGTTTTCTATGGCAGCATATGTGTGGTCACAAAAGGGGACTAGGACCATCAATGGCAGTCGTCGTTGTGTCGTGTGTGTGTGTGTGTGTATGTGTGTGTGTGGTGACAGACAGATGTGCAGGTTATTGAATCAGGGTCTTGTGCATGCTAGGCAAGCCCTCTACCACTGAGTCATGTCTCTGGCACCTCTGGTACATAAATTTCATGTTGCATTGCAGTAGTTGAGGCCTTTTAGTGGTCTTTCATAGGGCAGACCTCATGACCACTTTCTCATATTTTTTTTTTAAAGATTTATTTATTTATTATGTACAGAGAAGAAGGTGCCAGATCTCATTACAGATGGTTGAGCCACCATGTGGTTGCTGGGAATTGAACTCAGGACCTCTGGAAGAGCAGTCGGTGCTCTTAACCTCTGAGCTGTCTCTCCAGCCCCACTTTCTCATATTTAGTAACAAAAGATTTTTCATTCATACTGTTTTGATAGAATGTGATTTTGGCATGCTGTACAGATGTTCTGGTGTTTCTAATTAGTGCATCCTTCTTACACCTGAATGTGCGTCTTAAGAATGATTAGATTCCCAGCACTGCAGTTTATAAACAATAATTTAACAGAGAAGTGATTGTCAAGTCTTAAGTATTCAGCACAAAACCACCTTTTGAATGACCAGTTCTTTTTCTCCAGGGAGAGAGAGTGATTCTCAGCCTGTGGATTGTGACCCCCTTTGGGGTGGAATGACCCTTTCCCAGGGGTTGCACATCAGCTATCTTGCATGGTAGATATTTACATTCCATATTAAAGGGTCAAGGCATTAAGAAGGTTGAGAACCACTGGTTTAGGAGGTTAAGTTCCACACCCCTGCAAAAGGTGTTTTGTGTTTTTCACACAAGGTCTTTCTGTATACTCCAGGCCGGAAATTGTTATATACACCAGGCTGGCCTTGAATTTCAATAAAACATCTTTTTGCCTCAGCCTCCCAAGTGCTTAAATTGCAGATGTGAGCCACCATATGTGGCTCAAGTTCTCTGTCTCTGTCTCTCACTCACTCACTCACTCACTCACTCACTCACTCACTCACTCACTCACTCACTTATTTAAAAAAGATTTACATGTTTTGCCGGGTGGTGGTGGTGGTGGTGCACAACGCCTTTAATCCCAGCACTTAGGAGGCAGAGGCAGGCGGATCTCTGTGAGTTCGAGGCCAACCTGGTCTACAGAGCGAGGTCCAGGACAGGTTCCAAAGCTACACAAAGGAACCCTGTCTTGAAAAACAAAAACAAAAACAACAACAAAAAAGATTTATGTACTTTATGTGTATGGAAATTTTCTGTGCATGTATGTCTGTGTACCCATATGTGTGCCTGGTGCCTACAGAGACCAGAAGAGGATATCAGGTCCCTTGGAACAGGAGTTATAGATGGTTGTGAGCTGCCATGTAGGTGCTGGGAATTGAACCCTGGTCCTCTAGAAGAGCAGCCAGTGCTCATAACCACTGAGCCATCTCTCCCCTGTCTCCACTGGCTGTACTTGTGCCAGATGCAGCCATGAGCAAGATCATCTAAAGAAGAGTGGGATTCCCAGGATTTATTTAATTCCTTGAGTGTTTGGATCACATAGGATAACTTAAAGTCTGGCTTTTGTGGAGACATAATAGGAAATAGAACCTGTCTTTTTTTGCAGGTGGGCAGATGGAAAGGGGCCCCTGGCAACTGCATTCTCTTCCAGCGAAGTAAAAGCTTTAATCCGTGCCTTGTTCCAGAACACAGAAAGAAGAGCTGCTGCCCTTGCTAAGATTAAATAGTTCTCCCTCCCTGAGAAAGCCTCTCTTGACTCTGGTTCCTCCATGGCTGTCATTATTTCCTTCAGAACTTCTCAGAATCACTCATTGCTTTTGGTGAACCAATATATCATGGAAGTGTGACTTCACATCAGGACACCTGACATGGCCTGGATGAAGGCTTTCTGAACTGGATATTAGGACATCACTTTAAGCAATTCACTGGGTTCCATGACTGTTGCTGCTCTCCCTTGCCAAGTATGAATCTGCTGGGCAGCATGATTTGTACCCAGGCCCTCTGAGAGCTGTGTACATTGTAATTTTAGACCCTAGCTTTGGACATTCCAAAGTTAGGGTTAAGAATTTGTAAGATACTTTTTTGTGGGGAGGGTGGGGATTAGGGGCACATTACTTGGCCTTACAAGAATTAGGGAAACCTCTTATATTTCTTTCCAGTAAATAATTCCTTTCAGAGTTAAGAGTGAGTGTCTTGAATAACATGAGCTGTGGCCAAAGAGACCAACACCACATTTTCTCACGGGCTTTTCCCTTTCCTGAAGTCTGACTCGGGCGTGTCCTGTCTTTGAGCTAGGGTCTGGCTAGTTCTCTCCGACCTTGCACTCTCAACCCCCCCTTGGCTTCCCAACTGTAAGCACCCACCACCAAGACTGCCTTGCCCCTCTTCATAAGACCACCTCATGTTTTTGAGAAGTTTTTGGCATGTTTTGCTATTGTGAAAAAATTCAATTTTTTTTTTTTTTGGATGGATCCCTTCTCTTGCTGCCCCCCATTCTCAAGTCCTGTTTTTTCTGTTTCCTGTCAAATGTCAAAAATTCTAAATTGCCAGAATTCCTTTGGAAAGTTATGTGGATGAAATCTAACACCCTAGTCCTTTAGTTGGCACACATAGGTGATCTTTTTATTTTGCCTGTGTTTATGTTTGTGGGTGTGGTTTGTGTGTGTTCACACCTATGTGTGGAGGCCAGGAGTTGCTGTCAGGTGTCTTCCTCCATTGCTCTCCACCCTCTTGAAGCAGGATCTCTCACCTGGACTCAGCTCACCCCTTTGGCTAGTTCTTCCTGAGTGCTGGGATTGCAGGTGGGTCACCTCAAGGCCTGGCATTTATGCAGGTGGTGGGGATCGAACCTCCTTTCCTCACACTGGCATGGCAGGTGCTTTACCCCTGGAACCATCTCCCCAGACCCAGCACAGACTTAAGTTTTCAGCTCAGCTTTGTGTTTGAGACTTTTGTAGTCTTTGGAGATGCATACTGTGAAAACTCTCCCAGATTGTGCTCTCGATACCATTTCCCTTTCAGAAAGGGGCTGGGAAGTGTATTCTTGGTGTGCTTCAGAGGCAGGTGCTCGGAAGGGGTTCCAGTACGTGGGCCTGCAGCTTCGGTCTGCACTGTCCCAATCCTTTGCCTCTGAGAAGCTCCATTTTCCTACTGTCTTTCATGTTCTCTGTTTTCACCCTCTTGGTCTTAGTTCTGATTTGATCCTGTTAATCAAGCCATTCTGCTTGCTTAGTCTTTCTTTTCCTATTTGAGGGTCATAGAACTAACTATTAAAAAAAAAAAAAAAAAAGACGTTTCTTTAGGATTTAGTTGCACTAATGACTGTCTGTATGCTGCGTGTTCTGCTGTGAGAGGAGGGGAAAGCAGTCCGAGCCCACTGGTGGTGGTTGGTGGCTGTTTGAGAACCAAGAAGGGGGCTTTTTTAAGAGAGAAGGAAGGGGCTATTTGCACAGGTGGGGAAAATACTGTTTTTGAAAATTCGCACAATTTGAGGTGGCATTCTTTTCTCAGTAATTGAAAGAATGAGCTAAGGAAAAGAATTGAAATCAATACAGTGCGGGGCCTATTAACACAACAGATTTCTTTTGTTCGTAGAAGCTATTCTGCTTGGCAGGTATAGCAGTTTGGAGGTGGGGTCTCAGACTGGAAACCAGGCCCCTCGTTCCTTTCTCAGTTTAACAGGAAACCTCATCTGTAGTTTCTGGTTGCACAGACTCAGCCTTGGGGCACGATTTCCCCTCTTGTGAGCAGTCTGTAAGCCGTGATACATACAGAGCGCAGGCAAACAGCCTTTCAGCCAGTGTCATTGATAGCTGCCAGCTAGGTGTTTAGTGTGGTTAGATGAATCCTCTGATTGGACACAAGGGAACTGTGGTCTGGGAGCTCATACTCAGCCTTTGGAGAGACCTGTTCTGATTGGGAACATCATTTGGCCTGGGAGGAGAAATTCAAAGAACATATCCATTGTGGTAGCGAGGGAGTCACTGGGAATCATTCATTGAGTGGATTGTGTCTCAAGTGGGAGGAACCTGTTCCTTAAGAACAACCAGGGTTATACGGAAGTCCTTGAAAGATTTCCCAAGATCGTAAAATGGGAAATTGTTCAAAAGGTAAGTGTGCAAACAACCTAAACCAGTGAGCTGGCCCTTGTTGATCCTGAATTCCTGGCTGAGCCTATGGGCTTTGTTACAAAAGAATTTCTCTAAAGTGGGGACCCTCCAGATGGCGCTGTTTCCTCAGGCCTGAGCATCACCAGGCATCTAGCTGGTACAGGGGATAAAGGAAGCTAGAAAACCTGTCTGTTTACTCCTGAATTAACTTTTTGGCCTTGATCAGCTCTGGAAAGGTCATCTAGATTTTGAACAGCGAGTACACTATAAACTTACTTGTGAGTAAATCAAACTGAATTTGATTACTGCCATTATTAAAGATGAGATCTATAATTCCCTTATTAATTGAGTCTCCCCACCCACCCTGGGTTTATTTTGGAGTTCCCAAGGTTTTTTTGCTTTTTGTTTTCCTTTTCGGAGCACAGAAACACACAGACATGGAATACTTTTGTGATCATATAATCCAAAATAATGTAATTGTCCAAGCTGCGTGGTTGTTTTTGTTCCCTGGATAGATGAAGATGTGCATGGGGTGACAGTGATGGGAGGTAGCTGGGGACACAGGAAGCCTGCTGGACATTACCTCATGCACAGTAGTCTTGGCAAGTTAAGTGGTTTCTGCCTTGGCTTTCAATGTTTACACTCTTAGCAGTCATCAGTCTGACTATGAACATTTGTCACCATTTTCTCTAAAATACGACAAAGCCCTAGTTTTGAGAAAATTTAGAATTATGATTTGTACATTTTTTTATCGGGAGGAGTTTGGTTATTTTGTGGTACCATGTTATGATAATTAGAAATAGCATTGGCTCTATCCAATCAAATTATGAAATCTACCTAGAGGTTAGGGAGGGGGCAGTAACTGATGAGCTATGTATAAGGATTTCACTCCTTCAGAAGTCAGGCATCCTGGTTTGTTTAGTGCAAGAGTTGGTAGGAGGGTCTTTCTTTGTTACTCCTGCTGTTGCAGAAGAGGTTGGTACCAAAACGCTGGTGGCATCTACTCTCACATTCCATGGACTCAACTTCCTCATTAGGTAGCAGACAATAGCCTAAGTGCTGAACAAAACTCCAGAACAAAAATGTCCTGCCCTTTGGGAATTCAAATTCTAGTGGCAAAGACAAGGAAGTAAATTTGTATGTTTAAAGGTACTCGGTGCTGCAGGAAATGCACGATGCATGTACATAGAACAACTAGGGTCAACTAGAGTTGTGCATTGGATGGTGTCATTCTGCACTGCCTTGAGAGGTACGTGAAGTGAGTGGAGATTTCGCTGCGTATACTGAGGAAGAACTCTGAACAGCGGAGAGGGAGCAAGCAGGAAGTAAGGAGGACAGCAGTAGCAGAAGAGGGACAGGGTGGCCTAGGGCACATTGGCCATTGTAAGCATTTTAGTGGTTCTCTCTTTACTTCAGTTTGTTGGGGAATGTCTAATGGCCTACAAGGAATTTTAAGGAACACAAACAGCATGATGAACTTGTGTTCATCTGTCACCTAATTTCAACAATCATGTCATGCGCAGTCCTGTGTCATCTGTAACCCTTCTTTCCTCCACCTTTGAGCTACACTGGATCGTGGAAGCAAATACCAGGCAGTACATTTCATCTCAAGGCTCATTCCACCTCTTAGTTTTGTTTCCCCATGAAGCTTCCTTGTGTTGATCACCTGTCCCTGTGAGCTGCCTACATCCTTTCCTCAGCTCTCAAGGCTCTCCCTCTACTGCATGTATGCTTGAGCACTGGCTGTTAAATAACACTTGAAAGCAACTGAGAGCTCGCTCACACCTCAGCTTCCTTAACTGTTTACTTCAGCTAACCCAACCTCATGGTGTCAGGGTGTTCAAACACTTAAAAACAACAACACCACCACCACCACCACCCCAAAAAAAAACCCCTATTTGTTACAGAGAAAGCAGACTTTATTGGGTCACTTCACTGGGAATCCCAGAAAACATGGTTACCCAGCTTAGGAATTTTATTGAATCCTAGGATGGAGCTTTCTGGATTCTGGGATTCAGTTTCAGACAAATAGTGCCATTCCCAAGGTCGGTCTGGCTTATATACACAGAAGAAGCGGTCCCTGGTGGGTTCCAGTCTCCCTTCCCCATTCCCTGCTTTATGAACGCTGCTTTGAAAGCCCACTAACAGTTTTCATTGTCAGACAAGGCTGCATTTATGCTTGATTATAAGTGCTGTATGATAAAAATATAACATCAAATATGTCACTGTTACAAATTACATCTCACTACCATTCTAGTCCTAAGTATAGTCCTTCTAGACAACCATTTCTATATCCATATTGTTTAAAAGATTAGGACCTTTGCTTTCCACTATTTTGAGACTGGGTCTCATTGTGTATCCCTAGCTGGCCTGGAGCTCACTATGTAACCAGGCTGGCCTTGAACTCACAGAGATCGACTTGCTTTTGTCTTCATGTGCCACCACACCTGGCACCAATTACTTTGTAATCTAGGCTCTTTTGTAAAATTGGCTTCAAGTGCCTTGGTCTGAAGTCACAGTCGATCTTTTATCAAACTCTTTGAAAATTAGTGTACTCACTCATCTCAAGGACTAGGTAATGGTTTTTTGATTACATCTGCAGCTTCTTTTATTTGTAAGTCCCAGGCACTCCAATTCATGTGGGTCTAGAATCATGGACTCATTTAAAACTCACGTCTTCTTTTCCTATCTTTTCAGCTGTTTTAGGCTTTGTATTCCTTTTAACTGCATTTGTCTCGTCATTTCCAGGTTGAAGATAATTCCTTTTGATAGAGAATGGGGAGGCAAAATAGTGGCCGAGTTCTTCAGTTGTCTATCATTTAAAAAATATCACATCAACTCCAAGCATAGCCTGACCTCTTTTCCTTTTCTTCCATTGATCTTTTGCATACCATGATAGAAATTGATCTTTTTAAAGAAATAAGCTTGAGCATATTCTAGACTCCCATCTTCCCATCTTCCCACCACTGGTTTTTACATGTCGAGGCCACTCTTAGGGTTTTTGCATACTAATGGACTTTTTGTAGAATTCATTGTTGACTTTCATCTGCAGCCACAATACTATTTTTTATTA